CCCCAAAACCCCAAAACCCCAAAACCCCAAAACCCCAAAACCCCAAAACCCCAAAACCCCGTTTGAATGACTGTGGATTGAATTATAAGTATTTAATTGATAATTTATCTTATTCCGCCTCGATCCTAGTTAGGAAAGTAGGTAGACTCATAGATACGGTTTCTGCCAAAACCTCCAGACCAGAGAAGAATTCTGGGAGAGTGAGTTCCTCCCGGCTCTTCAACTCTACTCTGTTGATTACTTCATCACAGTGGATGTCCTCAGTGAAGTCCTCAGCTACTTGGTTGATGTAGCTGATGAAGGAGTGGATAGATAGGGTTCTTGTCAGTTTTGTTCCACACAGATTTTTGAATAGTCTGAATACTTTTTCGTAGATGAAATCTGCATCTCCTCCTTCAAGATCAGAGCTATCGTAGATCTTAGCAAAGCTTTTGCTGTCTTCCTTGCCAATTAGGATCTTAGCAACCTCGTTGATCAAATTGCACTTGACTCCAGTAGCTATTTTAGAGTTTTTCTGAATTACAACTCCCTCTTCGTTCAGCATTGGGTAAGTCAGTGACATGCCTGGGTTTCTGTTGGTTTCGAACAGCCATGGCCTCAAGTCAGCGTCGAACATGACGTCGAGCCCGAGGATGTTGAAGAGCTTGTCGTTCTTGTCTCTGGCGCCGTCCATCTCCATGAAGTCTGCTTGTTCGGCTTCGATAGAGCTTCTGTAGCACCTGAGCAATGAGTTCGCGAGGTCTTTGACTCCTTGCTTCATTTTCTCAAGATCGGCTTCGGGGTCATCAAGGTTCTCGGAGACGAGCTCCCAGGCACGAGTGAGTGGGTATCTGTGGTAGACTTGGTCCTCGTCTTCCTCATTTTCTGGCTCTGACACATAGTTCGGGTGGTCGATGTTTCTGAGGCCGTTAGTGATTGTGGCATGAGGGTTGGTTACATTGCCTCTTTCGTATTCGTCAGTGCAGACTCTTGCAAATCCGGTGTCAAATGTCACATAGCCTCTCATTGGGTTGACTCCGTGAATGATCAAGTACATCCTGGCGTCCCACTTTCTGCCCTTGAGGAGCAGAGGGTTGTGGATGTATTGCTGGGCGACCATACCGTCTTGGACTCCTCTAGCCATGAGCTCTTCAAAGGTGTCAAAACAGAAGATATCGGATCCTTCTAATCCCTCAGATGGCTTAGCAATCCAAGATTTTGCTCTTCCAGAAGCTCTAATGTCTTCTTGCATAAGGTCAAACTCCTTCATAAGAGTGTAGCTGGCTGGGTGGAAGCCGTACTTGTCAGCATGGTACTTCTTGCACTGATTCATGACAGTGTACTGCAAGTCTTTGTGCTTGAAGATCATGGTTCCGTAGATCTTATTAATGAAGCCCTTGAAATCGTGGAACATTTCTCTGTCATATTCTCCCATCTCTTCTCCATATAACCAGAGAATGTCACTTCCTTCGAAGTCTTGGGAGGTCTTGTAGTTGTCATAGTATTCTTCCATCATTTTGCCAAGGTTCTCCTCAGATTCGGCTTTGCTAATGCAGATAGTGCATGAGTGATCGTGAGTGTCGATTGTTGGAATGAGTAAATCGTTCATTAAGTGGAATAGTATTTTCTTATTTAATTATTATTGCTCTATGTCGGTGCTTATATGGGGTTTTGGGGTTTTGGGGTTTTGGGGTTTTGGGGTTTTGGGGTTTTGGGGTTTTGGGG